GGGGGGGGTTGCATGGGGGTGGGGTGCGTTGAAAGGCATCTGCTTAATACTCTTATGTAAAACGGAACTGTAATATACTTCCCCCCCCCAGTTTCTAGTAGAATCATTATTAAAAGTGTGGATTTCCCCGTTTTTTGTTTTTTTAGCACCACAACTGGAACCTTGCTTATGCTTTTAAGCAAAGGGTTAAAGGGTTAGCGTTGGTATTGCTGGTTCACTTGCTGGATGGTTGGTCGGTTAACACGTTTAACCAGTTTGATTAAACAGTTGGCTGAATGTCTTCTGGTGACTGTGAATAAAATCATACAAGTTTGTTGAATGGCTGAAGAACGCAGAGGAAGAGTCTGAGTCTGAGGAAGAGGAGGCAGACTGAGGACCTCTACCTATGACTACCATCTTGATTTCTACTTTTACATTAACATAGCACCAGATGCAGGAGAAGGACTCGTTGCAGGAGTCTGTCTGTATTTAGTTTCCTGTCATCCCACTAAGCCCTCTGGGGCAAATTGCACTTAGTGCAAGTTAAAGAGGAACCTAGACAATAAAACAATTGAAGAAGCATTCTCAGCATCAATCGACCACTTCTTTATGAGTGACAGTTTACTTGACTTTACCCCCCCCACCTTTATATCGCCATCTGGTGCTCTGAACATTACAAGAAGAAATGCTAAACATTATCTGTGAAGTCCATTTCAGCCGAAGGACTAAAGGCAGTAAATCATCATTCATGCAGCTCAAAGCTTCTGTCGGGGAAACCGTCCAAATCAGCGCTGATGAGTGCTGGACTCCCGGGGGTCACATTCGGTCCAGTAGGTTCATTTACTCACTGCATGCGTTTGACCCTTCCTCCGGGCCAAATATGAGACTGTCGGCTTTGCTAAACATGCTTTGAAGGGAATATCGCTACCTCGGGATACAGCCGGCGAGTGTTACTAGAGGTGTTTTTCCTCTTCTCGCAGTTTGGTAGTGCATGTAGTGCAATACTTGTCCCCAGAATCAGTGCGTTTTGCCGCGAGCACGTGCGGCGTTCTCATTGCCCTGAGAAAAGTCACCCGGGGTTAACGGTTCCTTCCCTCGCTTGATTAAAGCGAGTCTGACAGCCACCTGCTGCCTTATTGGGTCTAGACAAAGTAATGAAGCACTTGTAAACCTGAAATCAGCAAACAGACAGCAGCCCCTTAGCGTTTGCCCGGCCTTTCTCCTGTTGAGCGGCGGCGGTTCGTCCGGCCCCCAATGGAAACCTTTTGTTTGTTGATAATGAGCATAGATCTTTTTGAAACCTCACGTTTCCCGAATATTGCTCGGATGGGATGTTGTGAGCCTTTAATTAGCACGTCTAATCTTAGACAACACTCCCATTTGAGGACACGAGGGAGGAGATTAGCCCCACAGGTTTCTTTTTAAAGACATCGTTGAGGATGTGACTTCCACCGCCTCAGAAAGGGATATCTTTCCCGAAATAACTCCCGACTCTAAAAGTAGAAGATGGCAGCAGTTCTATGTGCAGCTTGTAGAGCTTTTAAAGAATAAAGGATAAGAAGACATTCATTTCCCACTCACCAGTTGACCAGCATGGCAGCGTTGTTCCCCGAGATAAAAGGAAGTTCCCCTTGGACGTTGCGAAATACAAATCCTTGAGAGAAAAGCAGTAAGATCCACCAGAGGAACATGTTCCTCCTCATTCCTCTGCCCCCAGTCCTGTCGGGATCCATGCATCAAGGGCAAAGGTGGGCCCGGGGCGTCCCAGGTCGGCAGCGCCGGGTTGTGTCCGGATGTTTCCGACAGATGCAGAGGTTCACGGGGTTGCTGTGAGCCAGACGGCCTGGAGTCATGAGGGCGCCAGAGGGCCCAGGTGATGGGGTCGCGGTGAGAAACCTGATCGAGGCATGGCCGGTGGCCCACAAGTGTCGTATTTAGCTGCTTGCCCCCCTTCGGCACGGAGCGGCCTGTGAAACAAACTAAAGTCTGCCTCACTTTTCCTGTCGGTGGACGCCGGGACACCTGCACTGCATTTCTCCGCCAGTCCCGTCAAGAACGTTTGATCATTATTCCACAGACGGCTGTCGGACGACCAAAAGACAACGTAAAAGATAGAAAATGTCCACACGGTTGGCCCCCCTCCATCCCACCAGTGATTAGCAGACAAGCAGAGTGTCCCTCTCCGTGGCTTAAGGGTGTGTGTCAGCAGTTAGAAAATCATGCTTCATGCGTGTTTCAGGGTGTGTATGTGCGGTCATCGGTGCCTGGATTGGCAGGGCGGAGCTTAGGGCTCTGCGAGGATCCCAGGACCCAACCCCCCCCCCCCCCCTTCTCTTCTCCTCCACACTCCCTCTCTTTCCCTCACTGGTGGCAGCATGCAGATTGTAACCGGGGATTAGGGAGGTTCAAAAATCCGATTTTGCCCGGAGAAAGCCTCATGTATTACTCTGCTCGCGTGTGCGTGCGCGCGTGTGTGTGTTGGAGAGAGAGCCTGTGTACGTGTGCCCTAGTGTGTGGAATATAGTCATTGGGTTTTTTCACAGTTTATCAGCGCCTGCGGTCACAAACCGCTGCTGGCGAGAGGGTTTTTTAAAGCCTCAAATGCAATCTTCAGTTGTTTAACTGAATATCGTGTCACCTCTCTCTCTCTCTCTCTCTCTCTCACACACACACACACACACACACACACACAAAATTCACCTCCGACTGTCTTGTCCCAGACGTTGACCAATGATAGTCTGTTGTCATGTCCTCGCAATAATTAACACAGCTTTTTGCCAATGGAATTAAAGTTGGGTTCATATATATATATATATATATATATATATATATATATATATATATATATATATATATATATATATTCCCTCACTGCTTTCCATTCCTTCAGTTTGCAGTGCACCACATAATGAACCAGCTGTGGGAGAAGAAGAGCTCTTTTATGACCACTTTTCAGGCTGTCGGGTTCATGGTCGTAAAAAGTAATTTTGCCGGTAAAGATTATGTCGTCCTGTGTGCTAATCCACCACCTGTGTAAGGAGGTCAAATCACATATTCATAATTCCGCTGTGCGTGGACAATATTTGCCGTGGTTGGGCTTGAAGCAGACGTGGTGTTTGTTGTTTGTTTCTAACTTGATGTCCTTTTTAAACCTCTGCCTCCCCTCAGGGCAGTACACAGTGATGATGGCCCACTTCTACCTGAAGAGGAAGATTGGATATTTTGTCATCCAGACGTATATGCCCTGCTTCATGACCGTAATCCTGTCCCAGGTGTCATTTTGGCTCAACCGAGAATCGGTTCCCGCCAGGACCGTCTTTGGTGAGTGAAGCCGCTCATTTACCGATTTACTTCTTAACAATTTATTTGTCTGGTCCATTACATTATGGTTGTGCACATGTCACACAAGGGAGAATAATAACCACCGCCTTGGCTGGCAGTTAAGAGTTATTAAAGCGCCCACCTTTGTTGTGCGAGGAGAAGACCGTAACTCGTTTCCAGGCGGCACTGTGAAAACTCAATTTAAAACATGTCCCGGCCTTTGTTTGCACCCAGGGGTGACCACTGTGCTGACCATGACCACCCTCAGCATCAGCGCCCGGAACTCGCTCCCTAAAGTGGCCTACGCCACGGCCATGGACTGGTTCATCGCCGTCTGCTACGCCTTCGTCTTCTCCGCCCTCATCGAGTTTGCCACGGTGAACTACTTCACCAAGAGGAGCTGGGCCTGGGACGGAAAGAAGGCTCTGGAGGCGCAGCACCCGAAGGTACGGCCCGTGGGCACTACGTGACTATATTTAGTACAAGTGTACTTTAAAGGATCATACTTAATTAAAATATCTCATCATTTACATGTTCTGTCCTTTGCAAAACCTTAAAGGAATATTTTGACATTTTGGGACACTAACTTGCTTTCTTGCCGATTAGATTAGAAGATCAATAACCCTTTCATGTCTGTATGCTAAGAGCCAGGAGATGGTTAGCCTAGCTTAGCATAAATGCGGAGGGAAACAGCCAGCCGAGCTCTGTCCAAAAAATGTCTCTTCTAAAGCTCACAGTAGGAAGGCATACTTTGTTACCTTTGAACAGAGCTAGACTAGCTATTGACCCCTGTTTGCAGTCGTTATGCTAAGCTAAGCTAACTGTCTCTGTAACTGTCCTGCACAGACATGAAAGTGGTGTCAAGCTTCTTGTCTTAAGAGAGACTAAATATATCTGTTTACTGTTTACATATCCTGATTATTATATACGTTTCTTGCTTTAATCGATGTGCGATCTGTCCCACCGCAGAAGCGAGACCCCATGGTGCTGTCCAAGAAGCCCAACAACGTCTGCTCGGCGGGCGTCAACTACACCCCCAACCTCACCAAGGACGTGTCCATCTCCACCATCTCCAACACGACGTCGGTGCAGCTCCGGGCCTCCGAGACCAAGATGATGGACCCGAAGAAGACCTACAACAGCGTCAGCAAGATCGACAAGATGTCGCGAATAGTGTTCCCCGTGCTGTTCGGAACCTTCAACCTCGTCTACTGGGCCACGTACCTGAACAGAGAACCGGTGGTGAAAGGTGTGACCTCAACGTAATCTCTCTTTTTGTTTTGTTTTGTTTTTCTGAGACAGCGAGTTTGTGTAAGGGATTAAGTTTGAGCCTAATGTGTGAGACTAAAAGGACAAGGAGTTGTTGAAAAAATTAAATAAAACACAAATATCTGCGCTTGAAGAACAAAAACAAACTATACTCAACTATCTAATTCAAGCACTTTGAATGGATGCAAGGCTGCAACCGATCCCTTTTCCTGTTTTTCATGGCCAAAAAAAAACTGCTCGATCACAAACGAAGCTGCTCCCGAGACTATGTCGACGAGAGTGCGGCTGTTTTTGCTTTTTTCTCATCTGTCCTGCTGCAGTTTGCATGACGCTGTCCTCAAAAGGAAACCACGGACTCCTCTTTGTCTTGAATACCGGCCATGTACATGTCAACCACTGCTTAAAGGGTGGGAGCGCGCTTCATTGCTACTACTTGAGGTTTTAAATTAAACAAACGTAGGCATTTTTGATCGATTTTTTGCCTAAATTTATTTATTGCCTAATAAATATTCTTATCTCGGAGGCTCGTGCTATTGAGACAGCTTTCAATATAGAATGAATAGAAGTTGATTTAGAAAAATGTACTTAATTCCACACTGTGTGGAAGAAACATCTCTTGAGAATAATGCTGCAAGCGCATTAATTATTAAGTTTTATGTCTCTTTAAAAAAAATGAAAAAACGTTGCCATTTTTTCTTCCTATTGCAGCGGGTGTTTGTGTGTCTCTTTGTACGTATTTACTTGAAGATTTTAAAGCCTTCGGTTACGAAAAAAGATTGAGTGCTACCTGAAGGTGAAGAAGAAAAAAAAATGTATTCGGAAAATTATTATCGCAGGTTTTTTTTTTTTTTTTTAAATGAAGAGACAATTCTTCATTCATAAAAAAAATCTAAAAGTCTTCATTTACTTCTTTGGCCCACTTCCACTGGGCGACTGGTCAGCTGTGGGCGGTGTGTTCAGGACAAATTTAGGATTGGATATATGTGCTTCGACTGAATTTTGAGCCCCGGGTCACTCAGCTAGAAAACTAATATTCACAGTTGAGAGACCAGCGCTCCAAACGCAGAGTGTGTCACATACATATCAGCGGAGGGAGAGTTTGGGGACTGTCATTCAGGCTGCAAGCACCCGCCCTGCTTATACTCGGGTCTTTACAACTTAAGTGGGGCTGATTTTCTATGAATTCTGGCTCAATTAAAAGTATTTTCGAACTGAAAAACACAACTGATCAATCTCCGTCCACTACGAGTCAGCAAAAATAGACAAATACAATCCCCAAGAGAGAGAGAGAGAGGAGAACACGAGTCAGCAAAATTACAGTAAAGGCCTGTGGAACATGTGAAGCTATGTAAAGCTAGTTGGTGAACGTTGGTTCTGAAAATATTCGGGTCTCATAAGGGAATTGTGTAAATAAACTTTTAATTTCCCGACTTTTGCTTTGACACAAAAAAAAGAAAAGACAACGTTGAGACTCCCGTGTTTGAGTTTTACGCCCTTTGGACAAAAAGAAACGCCAAAGTCTAATGTTGACTTTCGATTGTTTGCACCTGATATCTTTTCCTCAATGTTTGCGTGCACACATTGCTTGTAGAGGAGCTTACATCTGGCTTTTGATCTTTTGAATCTCGTCTTTTTTTCCCCTCGTCTCTTTCTACTCTGACTTAATTCAACTGGAAGCAATGAGCACACATTTTGGCTGGAGCCCACCATAGTGTGGACTCGTTGGACTATGGTGAGACATACTCAGGAACAAAAAGGACCCACGCTCACAGCAGAAGAGTGGCCTCAGAGTCACTGTTTCTTTGATCTCATATGTGTTGAACAGCGCAGTTAAGAGCATCGTCAATGAAACAGTGCTTTGTGAAACCGGGACCTACGGTAAATGTCGTCATGATATCGGCTTCAAATCAATCATTTCTAATGTTTGGGCCATCGTTTCCTGTAGTGTTTTCTTTGTAGTGCTGGTTTGGATTGATGTTGAATCTGCATTTCGATGTGAACCTACGGTGTCTGTAACCGTGAATCTACGGTGTCTGGTGGGCGTCCACCAGCAGAGCTGCTGTACATTTCAGTGCTTGTCGAGGCGCAGCAGCACAGGAGGTCCATACATCTGTCTGCGAAGGGGGTCGCCATGGCAGCAAGTCCAGATGAACAGACCAGACAAGATCCTTTTCCCTCCGGTAAAGACCTCCGCCCTCTGTATCTCTGCTGCGTTGTACGCATTATCCAGAAACACATGCTGACTTTCCTTTTGTTTCTGATTCCTGCAGCAGTTTGGGGTCATTTGTTTGTTTCGTCGGAGCTGTGATGCGCCAGCGCGGCTTGATTTCAGCTGACTAAAGCCTTATTATGAGTTATATTGCCAAAGGAAATGAAACTGTAACTAGCATTTTGGTCCCTAATCATGTAAGTGTATTTCGCCTCCATTATTTTCTCTGTGGATGGCGATGTCGGCCCATCTGTCCTCCGCTAGAACATTCCCATCAGCCTTAGCTGGGGGGACGGGGGGCGGGGGGGGGCGATCTCTGTTCCCAGGGTTCTATGTTCCCCAGCTCAATATCCTCTTAGTATGGCTCATTAGGTCAGATGTTCAATGTATGTTTCCCTGGTTAAATATGATGACATCACCCACCTACAGCTGAAAACCTTCTGTTGTACACCTCCAAACCTACACCTTCAAATGTGTAGTTTACACATACACGTAACAGTGTACCACAACATAGGACCCTGGGAATGTAGGGATGATCCCACCCCCTTTATATGCTAATTGAGCTATTGTTGGCATGCGAACACGCCCCAATCTGTCCCCTTGGACGAAACGTTTTGGCCCCATGAGGAAAGCCAAAGCTTCCCCCTTTTTATAGTTAACAAAACATTGACATTATCGTCATGAATGGACTACTATTCTGTCCTCCGTTGATCTTTCTTGCTATTCGAGGAATGAGTGTCCCTATCTATCCATCCATCCATTTGACCGACCCCTCTCTTCTCTATTGCCAGCCAAGAAACGACGGCCCACCCCTCCCTCCTTCATTCACTGTGACGGACTCATCTGCCATACATCTGTTAGAAAAGGGATTTAGCTCTGCTTAAGTTACTTTCACCCATTCAGAGGGGGGGGGGGGGGTCGCCACAAAGCACTTCACTCCCATGTTAAGCCGCGGACGGCCCAGCCCAATGACAAATGCTTGTTTTTCCTCTCGTGTTCTGGACAGCTGTGGCCGCTGCGTGTTAGGGACAAATTTAGGATTGATTAGATGTGCTTCACCCAGAGCTTGCTCACGGGCAGCGAGGCGGACCGAGGTTTTGAACTCGGGTCTCTCGACTGGGAGAATGTAACGCGCACGCGCAGCGGTCGTCTTCAAGAGCCTACAGTCGTCCATCCCCGGGAGGCCTCCTCCAGACGGCCATTACACATGCATGAAGTTACCTTCTGCTTTTCAGCGTCAACGAAGACATTCTTTTCTTTTTCAGGAGGAAACATGAAACTGAGATATTTGCTTCACTTTTGCAAAAAAAAAAAAAATGCAGCAAAAGCCATTGTAGCTATAGCTGGGCTTAAAGTATTTGTGTTACTCACTTTGTTTTTATGTACTGTATTTGTTTTATGTATTATACTTAAAATTACCGAATAAAAAAAGACGAACAAAGATGGCATTCATCATTAAGCGTCGGGGAAAAGCTGCTGTGTATTATAGAATCCATTTTATAGCTTATACAAATCTGTTTCTCAATCCGTCTCCACTTTAATGAAAAACCACCACTGTCGTTACTTTATGCAGAAATGTTTAAGACGAATCAGCTTCAGTAGTAGTGCCGCCTGTCCGCTGTTTCCCACCTCATTATCCAGAAGCTATTTTCATCGCCGTGTGTCTGATGTACGTGTAACCAGATTATTTTAGATGAAAGTACTTTCACTCCTCAGATTACATCACGCAGACAGACACAGGAACATTACACATGTTGTCAGCCATAATAGAGGGAAATCATTATTAATGTACTCACTTTTGAAGGTTTTTTTTTTTATGGGATAATAGTGAGTGGATAAAGACAGTGATGGATTGTAACTAAAAAGTACTGCACTAATTTCAAATATGTAGATGCTTGAACTGTCAAATTTGTTTTTTCTTCCCCCAAAGATTTCCTCCCTAAAATAATAATAATACAATAAATATATATACATATATACTGTATATATTCGTGTAAAATACCTTCTGTTTACCTTTTATGCCTATTACACATATATTACACATCATTTCATGTGTACTTTGAATTATCTTACAACTAGTTTGGGAACCAAAGGGCGAGACTGTATTTGTACTAATTCTTAGTATGAGACAGCATTACTAATCTAAGAATGCCATATAGGCTATTATATATATATATATATATTGTTTTTTTTTTTTTACTGATAATACTTTTGTACTTTTACTTAAGTACCATTTTGAATGCAGGACTTGTACTTGTTTTCACACTGCAATACTGCTACTTACACTGAACTAAATACTCTGATCAAGTTTGTCGTGTCAGCATTACGAATCAGAAATGGTCTGTTATTGATGGAGGTCGGTGCTGGTTCAGGAGGTCCACCCGTCGGTCTGCAGTACCGCAGTGAGGGATCCTCCCGCCTGGACGTCCGTCTCATTTTCAGCCACCAGGGGGCAGCGAAGCCTCTCGGTGTGTCGCATGTGCGCGCGTCACAAGCCTCACAAGTGTGTCTGGCTGCCCCCCCCCCCCCCCCCCTACTGCCGAGTTGTGCACCTATTCTGAAAAGACTTGTTTGTGAGAGTGGAGGAAGAGCTCGCTGTGACTCTGCGGCACGTCAACGTGCGTGTAAAAGTATGAAATGCATCATTCGGGCAAAAACTAAAAACAAAGCCAACAATCTGCCTCTCGTTTCAGCTCTATTTAACCCTTAACTGACTGCGTGATTGATTGGAATATTTCCAAAAACGTATCCCCCATTGATACAGATGTTTAAATATGCTGAAAGCTTCATGAAATAATTATATTTTCATCATGACGCAGCCTGGAAAAAACATCTGGATAATGCAATTGTGATCCAGGTACAGCATTGTAGACTGTGTGCTCGGTGTATGAGTCACGCAAGATGCTCGTCTAAGGTTCACCACCACCAGCAGCAGACAGCGTTACCCCATCACCGCTGTCCACACAGGCGTTTGAAGAAAGGGAGGAGGGCGCTGCTGGATCCCGTCCGTTTCCGACTCCCCCTCCCCCACCTCCACTGTACTGATCACTTTGATCGATCGCTCGTGCGCGTCCCGGAGGAACCCCCTGCGCGGAGCTCGGAGGATGGGGTTCCTCCGGGACGCGCACGAGCGATCGATCAAAGTGATCAGTACAGTGGAGGTGGGGGGGGGGGGGTAGAGAGAGAGTGGGAGAGCGAGAGTGTGAGAGAGACCGCCGTGTGGGTCGCAGATGACACGCAGAAGAAAGTGTGTGTGGGCGGATGAGGAAGTTCAGAGCACGGATTGATGGTCACACACCTATACTGTACTGGCACTTTCTCGCAGCAGCAGCAGCAGCACATCGCCTGTGGGTCTCCATCCACCGATTTCTGTTATCCGGAGGGGGGGAGATCCGCGCATGGGAAAATGACAATCAAGTTTGTGGTCATCCTCTTCATACTTCTCGCTCAAGGTGCTCGGTGAGTCGGATTGGAGCCTTTTTTTTGCAATTTTATTTTTTTAATTTGCATGATCAACAGCTGAGAGAGCTGTTTCTTTGAAGCTGTAAAAGTTCACATGTTTAAACTGCTGTCGGGGGTGGGGGGGGGGGGGGGGGGGGGGGGGGGGGGGGCAATTACGCATTGCATGTGAATGAGTCTGACTGATAATACATGTGGCATTTTTTTGTTTTTTTCTAAGGGCTTTCCCTGCACACACACACACACGCGCGCACACACACACACACACACACACACACACACACACACACACAAAATGACTGCTGTGCCCAAATACAGAGTCTATGGTCTGATAATAATCAATTTAAACTAAATGCATTCAAGCAGCATACGTAACTGCTGCGACAAAGTTGTTGTTTTTTATGACAATGGTGTTTGTTAAAGGAGGGGAGCAGCGCATCAACAGGATTAACGCCCCCCCCCCCCCCCCCCCCCCCCCTTTTCTTTTTCACCCCCCCGCCCCCCAGTGCTGATCTACTGGATTATGGCGCCGACGACGAGGACCCCAACGACACCAGTGTCAATCAAATGCTGGCCCCCAGGTCGTACCAGGAGGACGCTACACGCATACTGAACAATCTGCTCAAGGAATACGACAAGACGCTGAGGCCGGACATCGGAGGTGAGGTCGGGTCTAAAAGGACTAAAAACTTAGTGGAGTTCTGGGTCAGTGGCGCTGTCCATGGTGCTGATTGTTATTGGTTGGGAGCGGAGCTGTCCATGGTGCTGAAACAAGGGACGCTTGGTGGGGGGAGGGGGGGTTGTTTGAGGCTGTTTAAAGTCTTACAGTATCAGCTAGTTCCAGGTCTCCATTTCATCTTGCTCGTTGATGTAATAGGTGGAGATGTTCTGCATGTGTTGTCCAGCATTTTAGACCCACGTCCTTAAAGTGCAGGCGGCCATATTTTGGTGTATCTGGACACTTTGGATGTCCACTATTCAGAGTATAGTTCTGTGTGTTTGGACGATGTTTTGGCTGGACAGCATGAATCTAGGCCTGCAGCTTGTTAATAATGTCTGTTTGCTGAAAAAAAGAATACAAGGTATTGCTCACGGGCAGCAAGTAACCCTGAAATGTAGTTTCAGTATCTGCAGTATGGTCATGCATGAACTAGGGCTGCAACAGACATCGATTCATCCGCTGATTATTTTCTCGATTTCGCCGATGAAATGTCAGGAAATGTAGTACTTTATCATTTTTCTGTCGTCTAAAGTCCCATCTTCAGATGTTTTGTTTTAACCAGCAGTACAACTGTCCCAAACCTTAACATATCTGCTTCGCTGTCATAAATGACAAAGAATAGCAGCAAATCTTCCCCCAATCTGACACCAGAGAGTGATTTTTATTTTTTTTGTAAGTAAGTAAAACTTTATTTATACAGCATTTTTCAAAACCAGGGAGCTTCACAGGTTAAAAAAGATGGTAAAAGCATTGGGATAAGTAAATACTACAAATGCAGGCAGAAATCAGGTTATGGAAGCATCAATGACATTCCTTGGAGAATATGGACGTATAGGTTTTGAGGTGAGATGTAAAACACTCAGAGTTCGCTGATCTGACTAATCCGTCGTCGGTCACCTCGAGTCTTGAACTTTGAGCGACCTACTGTGCTGGACCTGTAAGGGATCAGCAGCTCACTCAGACATTGTGAGGGGACCTTAAAAGCAATTTTTTTCAAAGTCAGAAATCTGACAATAATTGTAGAAGTGCTATGGCCTCTTGGCTTAAACATGAATGAAGTGCATTACAGTAGTCAAGATGCCCGGAGACAAAATGGTGGAAAGATACCGGCCGATGCAGTTTGGCAATTATCTGAAATGAAAGTAACAGGATTGAATGACTTGAGAATGACTTTTGTCAAAGTTCAACTGGGAATCAAAAATGGCGCCTTGTTTTGCTTTAACTTCAGGAAGCTAGGAGACATCCAGACCCTGATCTTCTTCAGATCATTTTGTTAAATTGATTTGATTTGAAAGTTGACTACGTTTCATGAGCAATAGTGATGTTAGATATCTCCTCAGGAGCAACTCAATTTAAAGGGAAAGTTAATTAAAATAGGCTACTTCAAAACCCTTAGTTGTGGAGGAAGTACTCAGATCCTTTACTTAAGTAGAACTATACTATAAACGTGTTTTCAAAGTAGAACTTTTACTAGTAATTCAGTATGTTTACAGTGTGAATGAATACTCCATTATTAGTACAAGTTCTGCATTGAAAATGTTACTCAGGTCAAGTATTATTCGTGGAATGCGCAACAAATTGGCAGCATCGTAAGCGTCTTAGTGATGCTGCAGGATGGACCAATCGGTTTGTGTGGCAGCCTCCCTTAAACAGTGGGAGGGGCACCGGGGGACTGACAGCGTGAATGAGGTTTAGCTTAGAAGTTGTTGTTTTGTTGTTGTGAGATTGTGGTCAAGAAATATCAGGTGAAATAGAAAAGATATCAGGGTGGGTCTCTTTCCCTGTTTACTCCTGCAGGAGATTGTAGGCCCGTCATACTGTACATATCAGAAAGGTCTGTGTGTGAGAGGCTGAGGGTGGTGGCTTGAGTCCAAATAACTCTCTGATTGCACCCATATTATTCCTGCACCTATGCTCCTGGTGCTATCAAAACTCCTTGGAGCTTCTTGAAGGGCAGAATGTTCCTCTTCAGGGAGGCTGGTCGTTAATCAAATGGTTGCTGGTGTGATTCCCCGTAGTGTTTTCACTTGTGGGCTTGACTGAAAAGTTCACTGTGTTAAAAGAAGAGAAGAACAGAAGTGTAGTCATTACCAAAGTCCCATTTATCAAGTCCAATATGTATAAATACACCTTCAGTAGCTTTCATTTCATCTTCCTACAATTTTTCTAATTTAATTCTGCTGTATTTCTTTCCCCTGCTTTTGGGATTTTGCATTCACAATCAGCAGTGTGCTGAAAATAATCAGGGGAATAGTTGATATGTGGAAACCATTTGGGTGTTGCTCTACTCCACATATGGAATAAACACTGGGTGTGTTCCTTAACCTTTTAGATGCAGTAGTTGTTGTTGTTGTTGTTTCCTGCAGCTCAACGTGACATGTTCTTCCCCTCTCCTCACCTTAAATCCTTGCAAACACGCTGATGATATTCATGTCAATCCACGCTGAAGATCAGGGCCAAGGCGCGGCGGCAAGGCGGCGCCCGAGCCCCGAAAGGCCCGTGCGCCTTGCGCTGATTAAAAATGTCCTCAATTTTTTTTCCTTTTTTTTATATTTTAATTTGTTATCAAATGCTTATATTAAAGTGAACCCAACACAATCAATGCATATTGAAAAGTAAATCAATTTGTAACTTCATGCAAAATTGACCCCGTCGTTTGATTGGTCGCTCAGAGCGTCACAGACAGACGCGTTGACAGTCTGGTTAGCTCAACTACACGTTAGCCACGAGTGGGAAAACAAAGTATGTTTTTTTTGCACTGCGGGTATGTCGTCGTCCGGTTTGTTGTTAAAACGCGCGAGGTGGAAGTCGACGGCGATGCAGAAACAAACGTCACAACATTCCGAAGTGACGGTAATCAGTTCGATGGAATCTACCTGGTGAAGGCGTCATATTGGAATTATAATACACTAACGTTACTGTCTCTTGTGTTGTTAAGTGCATATGAGGACGCTTTCCCGGACTTATTCAAGCTGTCATGTAACGTTACGCTTTGAAGAGAGAAACAGGACACCGTGGAGACCGGTGAGTAGCCTACACGTTTCGTTAAATTGACTATTGACGTCGGCTGTCAATTAAGGGCCACTGCTTGGAAATTGTGTGATGTGTAATAGCTGATATTTCTTATGGTTTTATGTATGTTGAACATTAATAATACGACATGTCGGCGGTTGTTGCAGAATATTGAGATTTGGATTGAGAGGCTTTTAACGGAGGCGAAGCGCTGACACTGAATCAGCCAGTAGCCTCTAAAGCGCAATCAGTCACAGATCATCACATCGGTGTGGGTAACCATGATTAAGATTACCCATCATTCATTGCATTATTCTTCAATGTAGTATAGCGTGCAAGAGGACAGCTTGCACTTAATGAGATTCCCCCTATAGTTATGCAGACAGTGTAACTATATGCTGTCTTGGTTGTTCATACAAATCTTACATTAGTTAAAGAAGGATATGAGGAGCATCCAGTACGTGAATTGCTTTTGTTTAACAATATAGAGAACGAATGTGTAATTTTCCTTTTACGGTTGTAGCTGCTCGAGGTGGATCTGGTATATACTTTATATACAATGAGGTAGTTTAGTCAAGTGGCTCCCCAACCAACAGTAGGGGTCGTGCCCCTCCGACGGGGTCAGAAAATACATCTGAGAAGTCGTGGGATGATTCATGGATCTGAATACATTGGATTGTTTTTTTCCTCTATGTGCCTCAAACACAGCTTTCATTCACAAGCTGACACTATCAAACATCCCGTAGAAGAAACATCCGTCCCTCAGCTGCAGGACTCGTGGGTTTGAAGTGATATTAAGAGACTACACTTTGCACCTTGAAGTTGCCACCTTCAAGCCTGAAAAGCCTTTCATTTGTAACGTCTGCAGTTGGGAGTTTTAGTGGAGTTGTGCTCGAGAGATGAAGTTTCAAAAAGGCTTTGTGGAGACGCTTCTCTCCAGATCATTAAGAGTGTTTATTTGTGTTCTGAGGTTATCTCGAATGACCAAGGCAAGCACCCCGGCTTTCACAGGCAGTAACCTACTGGTGGGAATTGATTTATTTATTTTTTGGTTTTCACCTCCGCCGGCAGCTCGCTCGGGTCGGTTCAGTCGGGGTAGCGGTGGGGGAAACTCCCTCCCGCTCTGCTTCCATAATTAAGGATGAAATTTTGATGAGATCCAGTTGACAAACCTCCAGTGTCGTCCATGAAATGTTGATGTCGTAGCAGGATAATGTGAGGCAGCGGAAACACGCAGGCAAAATCACACACACACACACACACGTAGAGATCCACACACTCGAAGATGACGCTGAGTCAAAGACAGATCTGGGACATTTAAGGCATTGCAAAAAAAAAAGAAAAGAAAGAGAGTGAAGTGGGTTCAGTTGAGAAGTGCTGCAATGAATCTGTGAGAAACACACACACACACACACACACACACACACACACACACACACAAAGACAAGTACACTCACATAGACAGCCAGCTACTGTCAGATGTCAGAGGAGTGTGGCTCATTTCCATGATACACCTGGATTTTGTCAAAATCAAAGTCATCTTCTGCACACACACACACACACATGCACAGTATCAAACAATGCTCCCCCCCCCCCATCCCATTTGCCTCATTTTTAAATGTGAGCAACTTCTCTGCAGTTCTGCGTGTTCATTTGCTACTGGCTGTTGAACCAGAGCACAAACTGTTGTTTTAAGCATATTTCTGTATTAATTGGCCATTAATTCAATATTAGCAGTGTGTTTGTATCTCACAGCGAGGCTCCCTTCTTCGGAGGAGAACAACCTCTCTAAGCTGAAACGAAGCCGGGGAAGACTGGAGCCGGTTGTACCGTTGGTTAGGCGTTTGTATTCCCTTTGTTGCGCGAGACCTTTCTAAATCTTCATTTGCGTGACCGTTTACACGACTACTTGTAGCACAGTAACACAG